AAGCTAAAACATAGCATTCTCTGCCTTTATACCATCCATGAAATAAAATGTGCAAAACCTGTGTAATGAATGCATGTGCATAACTCAAGTCATCTTTTACAAAAGCTTATAAGTATATGTCTGTTATGCATGGATGTTAAACTGACATTTTAATGTTGTTAATCATTAAAATGTTTATTTCCCCATAAAATTGCTTGGAAAGATAGCAGCTTTACAAATAGTAAACAGTGAAAAATGCTTAACTAAAGACTGACTGTTTTCTATCTAGTTGTTTTTTTCACATTAACCCTGATTCTGCTATTTTCAAATGTCATTTTAGTATTACCCTTTATCTATAATGATTAAAGAAAAGCAGTTTATTTAAATTTAAATTGTACAATATAAGCTGACTAGACTGTGTGTCTGTGTGTAGGTGTATTGTATTTATTGTTGTTGGGTGTTTGGTGGGACTTGGGAATACAAGAAGACTGTGGTTGTATGTCTTTCATTTTTTTTTTAAATCCTACAATTTTAGCATTTTACTACACTTAACCTAGATTAAAGTGTAAAATCATACAAAACTACTTAAAGAGAGCTTTTATATAGAGCCCCATAACGTTGTTATTGTTGTCCTTAATTGCCATCCAGTTAGTTTCGACTTACCACAACCCTATATAGGGTTTCAAAGGAACTGCTGGTGGGTTTGAGTCGCTGACCTGATGGCTAACAGTCCAACACTAGCCCTTCAACGCCACACCAGGATTCCAGAACACCAAGTCGTATTTAATTACAGATAATGGCGCTGTGGGTTAATGCACCAGACTGCAAAGCCGTTTGTACTGCAAGGTCGGCAGTTCAAGCTCACCAGCTGCTCCTTGGAAATCCTATACAGGGTCGCCATGGGTCAGAATTGACTCGACGGCACTTAACAACAACAACAATCGGTTTCTATCGTGCTTCTATACAGACTTCTATACTATGTTGTGTTGTTAAGTGTCACCTAGTTGGTTCCTACTCATAGCAACACTGAATAGGGTTTCCAAGAAGCCGCTGGTGTGTTTGAACTGCCAACCTTATGATTAAATCGACCTTCCAGTCCAGTGCTTTAACCCACAGTGCCACACAATTTTGTTGTGGTTGTTTTTCAAGTGTCATTGTTATTAAAGTGTTACTAAAGTGCTTTTGAGTTGATTTCAACTCATGTTGTTGTTGTTGTTATTGTTGTTGTTGTTGTTAAGTGCCTTCGAGTCAGAGCCAACCCATAGCGACCCTGTACAGGGTTTCCGAGGGTGTAAATCCTTACGGGAGTAGAAAGCCTCATCTTTCTCCCGTGGAGTGGCTGGTAGTTTCGAACCACTGACCTTAAGGTTCGCAGCCCGATTCGTAACCACTACGCTACCAGAGCTGTTATTGTTAGGTGCCATCAAATCAGTACCTACTCACAGCAACCCTAAGCACACACACACACAAAAAAACGCTGCCTGGTCCTGTGTCAACCTCACAATCATTGCTATATTTGAGCCCATGGCTACTGCCAATGTACTAATCCATCTAATTGGGGGTCTTCTTCTTTTTCTCTGACTCTGCATTTTACCAAACATAATCTCGTTGTCCAGGTCCCGCCTGACAATATGTCCAGAGTACGATAGATGAAGTCTGGTCATCCTGGCTTCAACTGAGCACTCTGACTGTACTTCTTCCAACAAAAATTGGTTTGTTCTTTTGGCAGTGTATGGTACTCTTAATATTCTCCTCCAACACCATAACTCAAATACATGAATTCTTATACAGTCTTCCTTATTCATTGTCAAATTTTTACATGACTATGAGGTTATTGAAAATACCATGGCTGGGGTCAGGTGTACCTTAGTCCTCAAATTGACATCTTTGCTCTTCAACACTTTAAATAGTTCTTGTGCAGAGATTTGCCTAATTCAATATGTCATTTGATTTCTTGACTGCTGCTTCCGTAAGTGTTGATGGTTGATCCAAGCAAACATGAAGTCTTTGGCAACATCAATCTTTTAAAAATTTATAATGATGTTATTTATTGGTCCAGTGGTGAGGATTTTTGTTTTCTTTACATTGATATGCAACCCAAACCAAAGGCTGTGGTCTTTGATCTTCATCAATAAATATTTTAAGTCCTCTTCACTTTCAGCAAGTGAGGTTGTATCATTTGCATATCACCGGCTGTTAATGAGTTTTCCAATATCCTGATGCCACGTTTTCCTTTATATAATCCAGCTTCTTGAATTATTTGCTCAGCATACAATTGAATAAATATGGTGAAAGAATATAACCCTGGCGCCTTTCCTAATTTTAAACCATTTGCTGTTCCCTTGTCTGTTCAAACAACTGCCTCTTGGTCTACGTACAGTTTTCATATGAGCACAATTAAGTGTTTCAGAATACTCATTCTCCACAATGCTGTCCATAGCTTGTCATGATCCACAAAATCAAAAGCCCTTGTATAGTCAATAAAGCACAGGCAAACATCTTTCTGATATTCTCTGCTTTAGCCAAGATCCATCGGACATCAGCAGTTTTATCCCTCGTTCCATGCCTTCTTCTGAATCTGGCTTGAAACTGTGGAAGTTCTCTGTCAGTGTACAGTTGCAGCAATTTTTAAGTTATCTTTAGGAAAATTTGGCTTACATGAGATATTAATGATATTGTCTGATGATTTTCACATTCTTTTGAGTCACCTCTCTTTGGAATGGACACAAATATGGATCTCTTCCAGTCAGTTGGTCAGGTGGTTGTCTTCCAAATTTCTTGGCAGAGATGAGTGAGTGCTTCCAGTGCTGCATCAGTTTGTAGAAAGATTTCAATTTGTATTCCATCAATTCCCAGAGTCTTGTTCTTTGCCAATACCTTCAAGGCACCTTGGATTTTGATCATATGCTACCTCTTGAAATGGCTGACCATCTACCATCTCTTTCTGGTACAATGGCACTGTGTTTTCCTTCCATCTTCTCTTGATGCTTTCTGCATCATTCAATACTTTGCCCATAGAATCCTTCAGTATTTCAAGCTGAGGCTTAAATCTTTTGTTCAGTTACTTCAGCTTAAGGAGTGCTGAGCCTGTTCTTCCCTTTTGCACATTTTGTTATAATATTTGACTTTGTCTTCTTGAGCTGCCTTTTGAAATTTTCTATTCAACTCTTTGACCTCCTTATTTCCTCTATTTGCTTTAACATCTCTATGCAGGAGAGCAAGTTTTAGAGTCTCTTATGACATCCATTTTGGTCTGTTCATTCCTTCTTGTCTTCTTAATGACCTTGTGGTTTCTTCTTGTGTGATGGTCATGTGGCATCCCACAACTCGTTTGGTCTTCAGTCTGCTGTGTTTAATGCATCACATCTGTTCTTCAGATGAGCTCTACATTCAAATGGGATATGTTTTGGCTCTTGTGCACTTGATTTAATTTTCTTCACCTTCAGCCTGAATTTGCATATGAGCAGTTGATGGTCTGTTTCACAGTCTGCCACTGGCTTGTTTGGGCTGATGATATGGAAAATTTCCAACATCTCTTGCCACAGTTGTACTCAGTTTTATTTCTGTATTTCTGTACACTAAACATGTATATAGTCATCTTTTATGTTGTTTACAAAAGGTATCTCCAATGAAGGAATCATTGGTTTTGCAAAATTCTGTCATGTGATCTCCAGCATTATTTTTGTCACCAGTAACATATTTCCCAACTAATGATCCCTCCTCTTTGTTTGCAACCTTTGTATTCTGATTGCCAGTAATTACCCATACATCTTGATTACATGTTTGATCAATTTCAGATTGAAGAAGTTGATAGAATTCTTCAATTTCATCTTCACTAGATTTGGTGGTTGGTGCTTAATTTGAATAATAGTGGTATTAACTGGTCTTCCTTGTAGGCATATGGATATTATCCTATCACAGGCAGCTTTGTACTTTAAAACAAATCTTGATATGTTCTTTTTGATGATTAATGTGACGCCATTCCCCCTCAATTTGTTTTTCTCGGCATAGTAAACTATGTGATTGTCAGATTCAAGATGGCCAATGCCAGTCCACTTCAGCTCACTAACACCTAGGATATCTATGGTTATGGGTTCCATTTCATTTTTTATAATTTCCAACTGTCCTAGATTCATACTTCGTACATTCTGTGTTCCGATTATCAATGAATGTTTAAAGCTGTTTCTTTTCATTTTGAATTGTGCCCCGTCATCAATGACAGTCCTAAAGGCTTTGCTCCATTTGCATCATCATGGTCAACTCTACTTTGAGGATGCAGCTCTCCCCCAGCTGTAATTTAAGTGCCTTCCAAACGGAGGGCCTCATCTTTTGGCACTATATCTGACAATAGTCTGGTGCTCTTCATCATGTTTCAGTTTTCAGTATTCTGGTGCTGACAGTGTTTCACTGTTTTCATAAGGTTTTCAGTGACTAAATATTTGGAAGTAGTCTGTATCTCTTTCTTCCCAGTCTCTTTGCCTGGAAGCTCAGCTGAAAGCTTTCCACTGTCAGTGACCCTGCTGATATTTAAAATTCTCGTGGCATAGCTTCCAGAAGCACAGCAATACCTAAGCCACCACAGTATGATGGACTGGACAGACAAGTGGTGTTTTAGGATTTTCAAGTCTGAAAATCTTTGTGGGAGCAGAAAGCCACATCTTGCTCACAGAGTGGCTTGTGGGCACAAACAGGCAAACTTCTGGTTCATAGTTCAGTGCTTATCCTACAGAAGCCCCCCACTGAACTAAAAGACAGTTCATTTGGGCTTTACTGTATTGGACTTCAAGGGAAAATAAATAAAATGTAATGTTTACTCAGTAGAGAGTATTTTAAAACTATGTGAATTGTTTAATTTTGAGGAATAAATCAAAGTATATAATTATAAATGTATCTAAGCAAAATTACTTTTTGGAAAGGGAAAAAAAAGCTTGCTCTGTTTTGTAAGGAGCTGTAATAAGATTCCTTGTAAAGCTAGCTGATTTTTTTTTTCTTAAAAATATATTTGATTATTCCGATTATAGGCAACAGGTTCAAGACTGGGTGCCATAATACAAAATACAACCTGTATGGGCCTGTCCGTTATCATTGCTTTCGTATATGGATGGGAGATGACACTCTTGATTCTGATTATTGCTCCAGTCCTTGCTTTGACTGGAATTATTGAAACTGCAGCAATGACTGGATTTGCCAACAAGGATAAACAAGAACTTAAACGTGCTGGAAAGGTAATATGCAAACCATTATTATCATACCCATTGTAAGAGAAAAAATAATCAAAGCTCCCATCTTTATATGTTACCTTCATTCCTTAGAAATCTGGAGAGAGAGAGTCGCATATATATACTACAAGGCATACAGACCAGGTTGGGATGATATGCAGATGTGTTTCAACAATATGGCACCATGGTTTAGAGTACGGAATCTAGTTAGATTGGCTGAGTTAGAATGCAGATTTTATCATTAGTATATGTGTGATATTTAAACTTTTGGGGATTTCAACTTCCTCATTTGTAAAGTAGAAATAATAATAACATCCGCCTACAGATTTTTGTTAGGAATAAGAAAAATGCTTTAATTATTATATGCAAAACACTTATAATAATATCTGGAAGACAATAAAAACAAAAATACCTGTTGCTGTCAAGTCAATGTTGCTGTCAAGTCAGGATGACTCTATGTGTTACAAAGTAGAACTCTTCTACAAAGTTTCCTTGCCTATAATCTTATAAAAGCAGATTGCCTTTCTTCCGCCATGCCACAAGGTGGGTTCAAATCACCATTCTTTAGGTTAGTGTTGTTGTTAGGGGCCATCAAGTCAGTTCTGACTCATAGTAACTCTGTATAGGGTTTCCAAGGAGCAGCTGGTGGGTTTGAACTGCTGAGCTTGTGATTCACAGTCCTTTGCTGATCCTAAAGGGCCACTAGAGCATAAACCATTCATGCCAACTTTGGAAGACAGTTGTTGTTAAGTGCTGTTGGAGTTGGTTCCAACTCATAGCGACCCTGTAAAGGGCTCCAAGTAGCATCCCATGGGTTTGAACCACCAATCTTGTAGTTAGTAGTCCAGTGCTTATCCTAGAGTGTCACATCAGGACTTATCGTAAAGACAGTTGTTGTTGTTAAGTACCATCGTGTAGGTTCTGACTCAAATAGGGTTTCTGAGGAGCAACTGATGGGCTTGAACTGCCGATTTTGTGGCTCGAAATTCAGTGCTGACTGTATAGTGCCACGCCAGGAACCCCCCTATGGCCATGCTCTGTAACCATGCTCCCTTTAAGTACTGCCAAGCATACAAATTTGTCCCACTCTATCACACAGTCCACTCTGCCAGGCTGGAAACAAAAAATGAATTCACGAAGTTTCTCTTTCAAGCCAACATATGTTCTCATGCCCAAGAAATTCATTCTAAGCCAAAAATCTTTCCTCCATTTTGAGTTCATATGATTGCTCATTTTCTTTGGAAACATGTCATAATGGAGAAGCATTAATTCTATTGAATAAATACCTTTTTTAAATTCATAAACATCAACTTGAGAAATGACTCTATCTTTTAAAGAAACTTTAGCCACATTGGGTTTGAGAACCAAAGTACACTTAACCTAAACCATGGTCAATCGCATCATATGTATGGGAAAGTTGGATAGTGAATATGGAATATCAAGAAGAATTGATTCACTGGAATTATGGTGTTGGTGAGGAATACTGCAAATACCATGGACTACCAGAAGAACAAATATATCTGCCTTGGAAGAAATACAACCAGAATGCCCTTTACAAACAAAGATGGTGAGACTTCACGTCATGTACATGGGTGATTCAAAAAGTATCTTCACTCTGTTATATTTAAATGCCCGTCCATGTATGCACCTGATGGCAACATTGAGTGTGCATGTGAAATGATTCTGTTGAATAGATGAGTGACAGTGGATTATGTGACAAATCATTTGCAAATCAGCTTGGTTCTGCCTCTGAAATAATCCACAACAGACATGGGTTTCAAAAAGTTTGTGTAAAGGTTACCAAAACAACTCATGGAAAAGCACACACAGAAGCACTTGAACATTTGCAAACAAAATTTGGACCAATACTTGAAGGAAATTGAAAGCTTCTTTAAAAGAAAAAAATCATTACTCATGATGAGACATGAATTCATCATTATGAGCCTGAGAGTGAATGGCAGAGTATAGAATGGAAACATCTTCAATCACCAACCAAAAAAAAATGTTCAAAAGTCAACCATCAGATGGAAAATGAATGTTTACAGTGTTCTGGGATTCTCAAGGGCCAGTATTGGAACACTACGGGGGTGGAGGGGTGGGGAGAGGCGGCTAGAAGGATCAACAATCAACAGTGCTCATTAGAGTGCGATATTCACTGAAGAGCTGAAGCCTAAATTCAGAGGGCTGTTATTCAAGGGAACTTGCATGACAATGCATGCCCACACATCTCTGCCCACACTGTTGACACTCTGCAAAAGCTTCCTTTTGAGGTGTTAAAGCATCCTCCCTATAGTCCTGATCTTGTTCCTTCAGACTTTCACCTGTTTGGTCCCCTGAAAGCAGCCCTTTGGAATGAAGATTCACCTATAATGAAGACGTGAAGACAGTAGTGCATTCATGGCTCATAACTCAGCCTAAAACCTTTTTAAATAAGGGAATATGAAAGTTTATTGACAGAAGGAGAAAGCGTATTGAAAAGCAAGGCGATCCTAAAGGGCCACTAGAGCATAAACCATTCATGCCGACTTTGGAAGACAGTTGTTGTTAAGTGCTGATGAAGTTGGTTCCAACTCATGTAAAGGGCTCCAAGTAGCATCCGGTGGGTTTGAACCATCCATCTTGTAGTTAGCAGTCCAGTGCTTATCATAGAGTTGAAAAATGATGTATTTGTCTTTTCTAAAAGTTGATTGATAGATTCTTCAGCCACAGTGCAGATAATTTCTGACTCACCCTCATAATTTGGACATGTTATCAGGAGGGACCAGTCCCTGGAACAGGACATGGTGCTAGGTAAAATAGAGGTTCAGTGAAAAAGGATGAGCCCAGAGAGATGGATTAAAATAGAGGATCAGTGAAAAAGGATGAGCCCAGTTAGATGGATTGACACAGTGACTGCAACAGTGGGCTTAAACAGAACAATTGTGAGGATGGCACAGGGCTGGGCAGCATCTCATTCAGTTCTGTGTAGGGTCTCTATGAGTCAGAACCAACTAGACAGCATCTTATAACAACAAGCTACATTACTAAAGTATTCCTGAGTCCTTGGTTGTGATCTGCATGTGTGTGCTAGAATAAAATAATTATCTGATTCTCTCTGCTATATTCCTTCGGAGTTGTCATTTATAGGAAAACTCCTTTTCAAGACTGCATGTGAACATAATGTTCCCTTGTGTTTGATTCCCCAGCCTATGGAACAATTTAAACTGAAAAGATTTGAAAGGGTTTAAACTTAGACCCATTTCCAAAAGGAAATGGTTAATGTTCAACCGTTTCAAGAGGTAGCATATGATCAAGAGCCAATGATACTGAAGGAGGAAGTCCAAGGTACATTGAAGGAATTGGCAAAGAGAAAGGCACCAGGAATTTATGGAACAAAAATTGAAATATTTCAAGAAAGTGAGGAGGCACAGGAGGCACTCACTCATCTCTGCCAAGAAATTTGGAAGACAACTATCTGGCCGACTGATTGGAAGAGATCGTATTTGCCCATTCCAAAGAGATCGTATTTGCCCATTCCACCTGAATGTGGAAATCATCGGACAATCTCTTTGATATACTTGCAAGTAAAGTTTTACTAAAGGTAATACAGAAAAGGCTGCAAGCTTGCATTGACAGAGAACTTCCAGAGGTTCAAGCTGGGTTCAGAAGAGGCCGTGGAATGAGGGATATCATTGCTAATGTCTGATGGACCTTGGCTGAAAGCAGAGAATGTTAGAAAGATGTTTACCTCTGCTTTATTGACTACGCAAAGGCTTTCGATTGTGTGGATTATGACAAGCTATGGACAACATTGCCAAGTATGAGTATTCCAGATCACTTAATTGTGCTCATGAGGAATCTGTACATGGACCAAGAGGCAGTTGTTCTAACAGAACATGGGTACACTGAATGTTTTAAAATTAAGAAAGTTGTGCGACAAGGTTGTATTCTTTCACCATACTTATTTAACCTGTATGCGGAGCAAATAATCCGAGAAGCTGGATTATATGAAGAAAAACGTGGCATCAGATTTGAAGGAAGACTCATTAACAACCTGTGATATGCAGATGATACAAGCTTGCTTGCTGAAAGTGAAAAGGACTTAAAATATTTACTGATGAAGATCAAAGAGCAATCCTTTGGTGTGGATTACATCTCGATGTCAAGAAAACAAAAATCCTCACCACTGGACCAATAAACAACATTCTTATCAATGGAGAAAAGATTGAAGTTGTCAAGAACTTCATTCTTCTTGGATCAACTGTCAACACTCAAGGAAGCAGCAGTCAAGAAATCAAATGACGTATTGCATTAGGCAAATCTGATGCACAAGACACTTTAAAGTGTTGACGAGCAAAGATGTCAGCTTGAGGACTAAGGTACACTTGACCCAAGCCATGGTATTTTCAATAACCTCAAATGCATGCAAAAGTTGGGCAGTGAATAAGGAAGACCATAGAAGAATTGATGCTTTTGAGTTATGGTGTTAGAGGAGAATATTGAAAGTGCCATGGGCTGCCAAAAGAACCAATAGATCTGTTTTGGAAGATGTACAACCAGAGTGCTCCCTGGAGGCCAAGATGGACAACCTTCGTCTCTCATACTTCAGATGTATTGTCAGGAAGGACCAGTCAGTGGAGAAGGATATCATGTTTGGTAAGGTGGAGGATCAGAGTAAAAGAGGAAGACCCCTAACAAGATGGATTGGCCAAGTGGCAGCATCGATGGACTCAAGCGTGGCAACAGTAGTGAGGTTGGCCCAGGATCGGGCAGTGTTTCATTCTGCTGTGCATAAAGTCACTATGGGTCGGTACCGACTCACTGGCACCTAACAACAACAAAACTTAGATTGGTTGACTAAATATTTTCAAAATAAATCTACTTTGTGTCTATTATCTTAAAAGAAGTCCCCGGGTGGTGCAAATGGTTTCCATTTGTCTACTAACCTGAATGTTGGTGGTTTGAATCGCTCCAGCAGCTCCACTGAAGAAAAGCCTGGCCATCTGCTTCTATAAAGGTTGGTGTTAGGGTTCACGGAGTTGATCTCAACTCATAACAACACAATATGATAAAGTCAAGTGTTACCTTGGGTTTTCTAGGCTGTACTCTTTACAGAAGCAAATCACCAGGTCTTTCACCCATAAAGCCACTGTGTGGGTTGAAATGACCAGTCTTTTAATGAATACATGATCTCTTACTTATTCATTGTACCACCAGGATTCTTTCCTAAGAATACAGCCAAGGAAAACCTTATGGAGTAGTTCTCGCTCACATATGGGTTTGCCAAGAGCTAGAACTGACTTGATGGCAGTGGCTTGTTTTATATGGTGTGTTAATCTTTTTTTTTTTTTTTTTTTATGATGAGAAGACTTTCCAACACCTTTTATTTTTTTAATGTTTTATTGTGAGTTTTGTAATAGTTTACATGGGAGAACATTAGCTTTACATTGCTATGTTATCTTGAAGTGATATTTTCCTGTTTTATCTGGAGGAAACAAAAAAGAAGTTAAATGTCCTTGTCAAGGAGACATATCGACTTGATGTACTTAACATGTCCCCAGTGTAACTGGAATCCATAATCAGAGAAAGTTTAACCGTTACTAATTTCATTTCTACATTTTATTGTCTTCTTTTATAAGATAGCAACTGAAGCTGTGGAGAATATACGTACTGTAGTGTCGTTAACAAGAGAAAAAGCCTTTGAGCGAACGTATGATAAGATGCTTCAGACTCAACACAGGTGATTGCAGATTCATATTGATTCCATTGATCTAGATTTTCCTCATAAAGGCAGTATCCCTATGTGGTACCAGAGCTTTGCCTGCCACGAAATTGGCTCCAGAATCTTTCTTAGTAAGGGTGTATCATAATTTCTCATCACTTCACCAAGAAACAGCTCAACAAGGAATTAAGAGAAAGCACAGTTTAAATAAATGTTTTGGTCCTCCCACATTATCATTAACTGTCTATTGTAACTTGTATACGTTTTCCCTATTTTTCTGAAACAAGACTGAGGAAATTACATACTCAGGAGAAAAACATAATGTTCTCCTGCTCTTTACATTAAATTCCTCACATAGTTCATGTTTTAAAACAAATGTACACATAATACAAGTGTTCGTGCCTTTTTATTTTAAATCAGTATTTCTTACCACATTTGCTTAGTGGTGTTATCTGTATTACTTTGTGTTCTTTTGTACTAATGCTCATGGTCAGCACGACGTATTTAACGTCCATGACTTATTCTATGAGTGAGTGCAAAACTAGAATAGAGAATGTTTCTAAACAACTTGAAACCAAATCTATCAAACTTGTTTGTTAAGCTGCCCTTTCACAAACTTTGTTCAACTTGGTCTTTAGATACAAGTTTGTTATGCTTGACTTTGGAATCTATTTTATAGATTTTATAGATAATTCTGTGTATTTCAAGCTGGGCTGTTAACTGCAAGGTTAGTAGTTCAAATCTACCAGCTGCTCCGCAGGAGAAAGATGAGACATAATGCTGCCATTAAAATTTACAACCTCGAAAATCCTATACAGGGTCTTGACGGCCCATAACAATAACAACATGTTGTTGTCAAGTTCTGTCGAGTTGATTCCGACCCATAGCGACCCTGTATAGGGTTTCCAAGGAGCTTGAACTGCCGACTTTGCATT